ATGTTCTTCTCAGTTGCTTCACCCATAAATATCGTGTCATCTGCAAACTGTAGGTGGCTAACTTGTAACTCCCCTTCTCCAATTCTGACTCCTTGCAACAATCCTTTTGACACAGCTTCTACAATTAATCCATTCAAAGCTTCAGCCAACAATTAAGAATAGGAATGGGGATAGTGGGTCACCTTGCCGGAGTCCTCTAGACATTGAGAACTCTTTGGTAGCACTTCCATTTACTAGAACAGATTACAGTATTGGACTTCAAACACTCTGAGATCCACCTTCTCCAAACTGCATCAAAACCCATTTTCTCCATCATATAATCAAGAAAGGACCAATTGACATTGTCATATGCCTTTTCAAAGTCAATTTTGAAGACAAAGCACTGGGATTTCCTTTTCCTCACTCCGTCAATTGCTTCGTTCGCCACTACCACCCCATCAACCAATTGTCTTCCCTCAATGAATGCAGATTGATTTTCACCTATGATTCCATTCAATACCTTGCTGAGTCTATTTGCTAGTAATTTAGCAAGGATTTTATAGATGCAACCAATTAAGGAGATAGGCCTATACTCCTCGATACCTTGAGGGTTCTCTTTTTTTGGTATCAAAACAATAAATGATGCATTAGAACCCCTTACCAGTCTTCCATTTTTGTGAAAATCCATAAGGAACTTCAAGACATCTTCTTTAATCACCTCCCATTGAGCCTTTAAGAAGCCAAAATTAAAACCATCTGGCCTTGGCGCTTTAGTGTTGTCACAGTTCCATACCGCCTCTTTGACTTCTTCTTCTGTGAATGGTTGGGTAAGCATGCTTCTATCATTGTCCGAAATGGTTTTGAAAGTTAACCCCTGTAGAGTTGGTCTTGACCACCCATCATCTGTGAATAATTTCTGGAAATACTCCATTATGCCTTGTTTTATCTCATCCACTTGCTTCAATTCTCTGCCTTCTACTGATATTATGTTAATTTCATTCCTGCGCCATCTTGCTTTGATGCTTTTATGGAAATAACTGGTGTTTGCATCCCCTGTTTTTAACCAGTTCTTTCTCGCTTTCTGTTGGGCCATCTCTTCTTTCAGCTGCATATTCTTTAACAACTTAGCATAATGTTTGCTCCTGGTCATGAGTTCATCATCTGTTAAGCTGCAAGTTTCTCCTATTCTATCGATTCTGTTTAACTCCTTTCTGGCCTCCTCGATCTTTCTATCCACATCTTGCAAAGAAGACTTAGACCATTCCCTAAGAAAGTCCTTCATCAACTTTAATTTCTCCTTAACAATGAAACCTCCCCATCCTTGAACTTTAAATTCTTTCCATTTTGCTGCAACCATGTCTCTAAATCCAGGAGTATGTAGCCAGGCATTGAAGAACTTGAATGGTTTTGGCCCCCAATTCCGTGTCTCATTTTTTACCAGTATCGGGCAATGATCCGACAGAGATCTAGCAAGTCCCCATTACTTTAAATCAGGCCATTTTGTCATCCAATCATCATTGAACAAGAACCTATCCAAACGACTCATACATTGTCCATTTTGCTGGTACCATGTGTACTTCCTTCCTAGCAATGGTAAATCTGTCAGGCTGTTATTCACTATAAATTGTTCAAACTCCTTTACTTCTATCCTGGCGCTCTTACCCCCCTTTCTTTCCTGCAAACTTCTAATAGCATTAAAATCCCCACCAAGACACCAACACCCCTTGTTCTTCCTAATCATCTGTTCAAGTTCTCTCCATACACTCCTCTTCCTCTCAAGATCGCATGGGGAATACACATTACACAGAAAGCATGGTAAGGCATCAGCACCCCATAACCCCTGGATCCCGATGTATCCCTCCCCTTCAAAAACACTTACTTTCTGTAGCACTGCCCTGTTCCATATGATAATTAAACCACCCGAGGCACCCAAGGATGATTTTGCTACCCAATCCATGTCATCTGAATCCCATAACCTTCTATAATAACTTTTATCCACATTTTCTACTTTTGTTTCTTGCAAGAATAAAACCTCCGGTCTATGTTTATTCACCAGCTCATGAATTTCCCTCTTTTTCCCGCATCCCCCCAACCCCCTAATGTTTAAAGATAGCACAATCATGGGGAATTAGCAAGCACCTGATTTCTTGTTGTCGGTGTTGCCATATCTTTCCTTCTTCTTTCCTTGTCTCGATGCTCCATTTCTTCAAGCCTTTGGATTGCCGGTAGCTCATCCCCTTTCATTGCAACTCCCAACTCCTTGATATAGCTCCATAAAGCTTCGGAGTCTTTAATATTGCTCTTCACTCTAATCCCCTTGTTGCAGTTTTGTATATTACTGTCATTTATGGAGTCACCTGCAACTGAGTCCGCTGGATCAGCCTGGAATATGATTTGCTGCGTCATTTTCTCTGTCACCGATTGAGTTCCCTTCTTCTTCTTCTTCTTCTGCACCAGAACACCTTCAAGCTCGCCAGATTTCATATACACTGAACGGCACAGCTTCACTCTCCTTTTTTTCTTTTTGCTCTTCTTCCCTTCAAGAACTTTTGCCCACTCCGGTAAGTCCCTTACGTCGCTGTCCATGTCTTCCCAGAACAGGTCTGATTCTGTTGCTCCTGGCCTCACGTGCTTGCCCTCTTTTAATTTTTCTTTGGTTTCTTTACTTATCTGATATGGGCTTTGCACTTCTTGATTTTTACCACCCAATATTGGCCCATTACTACTCTTACCTGGATCCATCTCATCATTGAGCCCACCCGGCCCATTTCCTTTTGCAATTTTGTCCATTGTTATTTTTTAAATTTTCTCCCCCCCTATCTCTCTCCTTTCCCCATTATTGAAACTGTGGCTGTTCCCAATACTCTCTCTGCATGTTTCCGTCTCCAGCTGGACCTGTCCCTCTTCCTTCTCGAGCCCATCACTCATTAATTGCTTGCTTGTAAGCCCTTCCAAACTACCCGTTGCGCTCCCTGAACTCTGCTGCTTTTCGGCTGTTCCCGCTGACACCAAATCTTCATCTTCTGTTGCTTCTCCAGAACCTAACACACTCCTTTCTTGTCCATTTGGTTGACCCTTCTTCTTAACAATTGATGTGTCCCCCTCTGATGATGCCACCGTGTCCATATTTCTCTCCGCCTCTTGCTGATTTGTCTCCTGCACTCCTAATTGAATCTCCACGTCATCATCTTCTTCAAATCCTTTATTTTCTGCAGCTTCCATTCCAGGCATGTTGAAATCTGTACCGACAGATCCGTCCGTTGAAGATTCCTCGCCTTCCTCGTAAGCTTCTTTAATCTTAAAATCTGTATTCATGACATGCATCCCGTTGTTGGACTCCTCCTCAGAGAACTTAACTGTAAAAATGATTCCATTAACCTTTATTGATAAAGATTTTGAAATGGATTCCATTACGGGCGTTGATAAGAGGAATCGAGCGACGTCAAGGCATTTTTTCTTGCTTGTGCTATCATCCACCGAAACAAAAGTGCCCCACAGATTTCCGAGTGATTGGAAAAAGTCCATCTTCCATGCGTGTGGAGGTAATCCCAAGCATCTAATCCATGCGAACCTCTCCCTTGCCACCATGTTTGGTGACCATGGTTTGATTTCTTC